CATGCAGTTTACAATTTAGAAAGTAGAAATGTACGAGACTTGATTTTTATTTTTGAAAATCACGTTATCTTTAAGTTTATTTTTAAAACAGTTTGAGAGAAAATACAAAGACATAAAATAGTTAAGAACGATAACTTTGTGATAACTTTGTGGACATGAAATAAATTCTGGTTTTTTCTTTAAGTTTCTTTATCTTTAAGTTTCTCTAACAATATTTTGATTAGGATAGGGAAAAACTCGATATATCCGGGAAAAAAAATAAGAAAAAAATCGGAATAATTTATTAAGATGTATGATGTATTCTAAATATTGAAAAAAAAGAAGAATTTTTTCAGAGAGATCATGGACGAAGGCTGAAGGAAAAAGGTGTATATACTCCATAAGGTGGAAATTGTAGGAAGATAATAAAAACGAAAAAATTCTATAGCCGTACAGTATATGTGATCTTACTGGTTTGTAGTTTTTTGGTTTGCTTCAATAAGTAGTTCATGAAACCACGCAAATTAGTGCACATTTAATATCTGGTTGATCTTGCCAGTAGCATTTTTTTTTTTTTTTTTTTTTTAAAGTTTTTTTGATTTGAGAGAAGTCTCAATTTTTCACAAATGTTCAAATGCTATTTTTAGTTTTTTTTTGAAAAAAGGTTAAGCATAGGATTTGCAGGTGATCTGCAGGTGATCGAATTCTAGGCAATTTTGGAGATTTTGGAAATTTTGGATTGGAAAAAAAAGAAACAAAAGCGGATTCGACACCTCATATGAAGGGAAAAGACATAATTGAGAGTGGGTTTTTCTATTAACTCTTGTTGTCAATACAGAGCGTACCCAATCAGCGCTTTTTTGCTGCAGCCAATTTAATCAATTTAATCCTGATAGATATGCATCCACTCCCCAAATTAATCCGACTGGTTTCATTGATGAAAATTATGAAAGCAGCAGAGGGACTAATTTAGAACCCAGGGTCCGTACTAGGTCGAGGGGTGTTACTAATACTATCAATATGAAACTGAGAGAAGATTTTTCCCTTCTGGGATGAGAAAGTAGAAATAATGGTTAATACTGAGACCATGGTGGATGCAGAGTTGATGGCTGATACCAAAATAGTTCAGATAAATAATATGATAATGGCTGATGCTGGGTTGATGGCTGATGCTGAGATAATGGTTAATACTGAGACCATGGTGGATGCAGAGTTGATGGCTGATACCAAAATAGTTCAGATAAATAATATGATAATGGCTGATGCTGAGTTGATGAGTGATGTTGAGATGATAGCTGATATCCATATAATGACTGATACTGAGTTGATGGCTGATGCTGGAATAGTTCAGGTGAATAATATGATAATGGCTGATGCTGAATCAATGGTTGATGTTGGGATGATGGCTGATGCCGAGTTGATGATTGATACCAAATTGGAGCAGATAGATAAGAGATATTTTAATCTGATGAGAACCCCTGGTATGAGATCTCATGGTGATTCCAAGCTGATGGCTGATCTCAAGATAATGGCTGATGCCAAGGTGATGGCTGATGCTAAAGTAACAAGCATTCTTGGGGATTTAGATACTGAGATTGGGGGGAGATATTATTCAATTAGAACAAATGAGAAATTAGGATTGTCAGTAGAACCTCGCCTGAGAAATGGAGGAGATATTCTGGGTTGTAATGGAGAAAGACTGGATGATTTTGAAGAATCTTTGAATGATCATGAGAAACTGCTGGAGATCCTGGAGGATCAAGGGAACTTGTGTGGATTACACAGTGCCCATGGAATGGTGAGGACCTTCAAGTGTCTGATAATGGATCAAGAAGTAAGTTTGAACCAACTAGAACCAGAGGGTATAACCAGAGATAATACTGATGTGGAGAGAGAGGGAGGTTCACTGGAGCATGATGAGATTAATCCCACAGGAAACTTGTCTAATTGTAAAGATTCTACCGAAAATGAGTTGGAAGAGACGACTGGTAGGAATCCAGATAGTGAAGGTTTGATGGAGCATGATGAGAAGAGTCTTTCAGGGAATTTGGATGATTTTGCGGAGGAGTTTAATTCTCCATTTCGCAATTTCGATATAGCCTTGAGAGACACAGTTAAAACTACCATGGGAGGTACGACGGTAAGGAATCCGATTTGTAAAATTCAACACACAATGGACTGGATGAAGAGCAGCAAGGATTATGAGTTTTCCGTTTCTGCGGCTGACGCGGGGAGGAGTGTAGCAGAGCTACTAGTGGATACTGTACCCCAAGGTTGGAGAACTAAGTTTAACCCAAAAAAGTTAAGATTTAAAAATAAGTAACGGTGATTTTAAGAAAACTGATGATCCTAAGAAGAATGGAGATCCTAAGAATAATGCAAATCCTAAGAATAATGACGATCCTAAGATAATGGGAGCCTTTAAGAAGAATTGTGATCCTAAGAAGAATAATGATCCTAAGAAGAATGGTGATCCTGAGAAGAATGGCGATCCTGAGATAAGTTGCGATCCTGAGATGAGGTGTGATCCTGAGATGAGTTGCGATCCTGAGATGAGTTGCGATCCTGAGATAAGTTGCGATCCCTGTTTAATGGGCGATCCCTGTTTAATATGCAATCCCTGTGATTTGGAGTCAGGTTGGGATCCTGAGAAGAATTGTGGTGATCAGGGATCAATGAGCAATCCTTGTGTGCTTTTGAGATACTTTGGAATTGATAAGATCTATTGGTTTGGAGTACGGTTTGGTGAGATGTCAGGGGTTGAAGAGATATCCTGGTCTTGGTAGATATCCTGGTCTGATGTGACCCTGTGGATCAGGATCTCTTGGTTTGATGAGTTATCCTGGTATAAGGGGAACCCGGAGAAGGATAAATTATCAACAGGATTGGGTGAGCTGAACCTTAACAAGTTTAATATACAAAATGTGCCCAAGGGATCAGACGGGATTAGGGGTTTAAAATGGACGAAAGGAGAAAGGTCTGGAATGCCTCTGACGTCATATCCTGTGTTCCATGGATGGAGGAGAGAGATGAGAATTTTATGCAAAGATGAAGAACCAAATACTGTCACAACAAACACTTAATCCAGGATGACAAGTGCGAGAATTGTTTACTGGGAGAATACAGATGGAACCCAGAGGATGAAACCGAAAAAGCAGAACAGTATTTGTTCAGGTGGGAATCAAAAAAAGTGAAGAAGAATCTAAAACCTACCAAGATGAAAGGAATTGTAATCCAGGACGGAGTTGTATATAATGAAGGAAGGTTATCTCCAGAGTTCCAGTTCAAGACCAAGGATCTAGATCAAGTGGGATATTTGGATAAACATGAGCATAGATACAATTCTGATCTGAGCTCATGTCATTCCAAGGACATCTGGAAACAAGTTCCAGAAAAGATTATATCTGGGAATGGAGTATACTGGATGTGTGTAATTTCTCTGGGTCTCAAGATGGATGGGAATAAGGATTGTATAATGAAGAAAATGTCTGTGCAGCCTGAGATTATCAAGTTACTCCGTGAACTCCGTGATGGCAGCTGATTCCTGAGTCCCTTAGATGTTATGCGTTGGATGATATTATGTTTGGATTTGTAACCTACAACGTGTTAACTGGTCTACTGTTCAAAGACGATTCTCCTGATCCAGATATACTCTGTAGGTTTCGGAAATGTAATCAGAAAACTGCTGTGGTTTGGTTTCTGGAGTTTGTAGTGATGTCCTTGGAAGGTGAGGAGTTTCACCTAGGTGTAGAAGAACAAGCTGAAACCAGAGAAGGATTGATACAGTCTCTAAGTGATACCACCTACCAGGAATCTGTTTATTGGAAGCTTGGAAGAGTAACAGAAGTTAAAGGGTCGAAAATAACTCTAAATTACTCTTTGACAACCAAGAGATGGTGGCTATTGGAGTGGACAAGAATGGACCCCTCGGAGATGAGCAAGTTTTTCCTCAGGATGGAGAAGAATGTAGGGTTTCAACAATTCTACAGAGGACTGTATGATGGTATGAGATTATGCCACGTGAGAATATTTGTTGAAAGAACTCCGGTTGTGGAGGAGGTGGAGAAGAGGTTGAGACTGGCTGTGTGTAATTCTCTGGAGGAAAAGACGCAGTGTTTGAAGAAGAGTGGAGCTGAGATTCAGGTGAGGAGGAAGAGGATGGTTTGGTTAAACAAGTTGTCCTCTGACTGGGAGTATGAAGAGAGAACCAGATGGAAGGATGAGAACCCTGCTCTGAGTACTCCGAAGAAGAGGTCTAGAGTGAAAAGGAGGAATAGTTCTAGGCCTAGTAAGTTGAAGAGGATGAGGATGAGGAGTCTGAAGGTGAGTGAAGCTGGTTCTACTGCTGAGGAGCCGGCTGGCGCTTCCCTGGATCAGCCTGCTCCTGGTCCTTCCGGAGTTAGGAGTGATTCCGGGGAGGAGGTCTCCGAGCCTCAGCAGGGGGATGTCTTCGAGGAGGTGGTGGTACTTGAGGAGGATGATGATGTATTCCTGGAGGAGAAAGAGGAGAAGGTGCAGAAGAAGAAGAGGATGAGTGCCCCAGGTTTCTCTAGGAGAGTGATAGAGTGTCCTCTAACTTATGATGAGAGAATAGAGAGCGTTCCCAGGAGTGTGTTCTCGGAAGAGGAGGAGATGGAGCTGGAGATTCCCTGGGAGGACAGACTTTTTTAAGCTTTTTTTTTAAACCTAAGTGATTAGTGATTTTCAGGTTGTTTCTTCGTTTCGAGAGATAGAAGTTGCGGGGTGCAAGTAGAACTCTTTTCTTTTCTTTCCCCGGTGGCGAGTGTTACGCGAGCCATGTCGCGTCTCTTGAGTCTATGAAATGCCCCTGTTCAATGGGGAAATTTTGTTCACCCCTGCAACAAGAGAGTGGTCTGTACAGATGTTTCTGGAAAATCCTTGAATTGCTGATCGTAAAAGATCAACAAAACTCGCCCACTGTTACAATATGCTTACCTTTAAACCCCAAGAATCGTTCTCTTAACTTAACCCAGGCCTAATCAAGCTTTATCATTATATACCTGGATCCGTTTTCAGTGTTGAGATTTCTTCCACTTGAACTTCCACCAGCACTCCCTCCAGTCATCTCCTGGTTAATTAATTTAGTTAAAGAGACTGTACGCTGTGAACCGGAAATGGACCAATATATATAGAAAGGAGAGGGTGACCTGGAATTAAGTCCTACAACACTGTTTATGTATTCTAACCATAGATTTATTTATCTATGATTTTAACCAGTGCTATTGCAGGGTAGGCTCTCAGATCCAAATTGAGTGAGTTCATAGCACTGGGGAGAATGCATCCACTCTCATCTGACTGTTGCATATATTTCACTAATTTATTTAAGGTAATTATAAGATTATTTTTTGGATTTCATGGCAAAATCAACTTGCCTCAAAATTCTTTAATCCCTATATCTTAGCAACCTGGGACCAAATTATAGAAATTTGAGCTAGGTCGCTGAATTGCCTACCGCTTGCTCTTAATTAGATTCATCCCAATTCTAAACTTGTAGATTAGAGACAAACTCTGAATCACCAATTCAAGATACGTGGTTCGTCTCTAGATCTGGCTCAAATTCATTAAATCAGGTCTCTTAATCTGGTAAAAACCTCGTATTGTACCTGTAAGGATCGAGGTTGGAAGTCAGGTCTAGGTCTATCTGCCGCTTCATCTTTTTTAGCACTAAAATAATATCGATTAATTGAGTTATGAGGAATCGTTAACATTCCATCGTTAACGAATAGATGAAACCGTTCTTGCACTTTAACACAAAGAACGAAACAGTGATGGAACGATTGGGAAAATAACGAACAAGGAACCAACAATCCAACTGAAGGCCCATGTTTACAAACATGATAGACAATTTTTTTAAAAATAGGAACGTGCCCAGCCCTATTGGGGATACTCGAGTATTTTGTTTCTTGATCCATGATCTTATATCAGTATATATTCAGGCTAAGACTACATCTCATTGTTCATTAAATCTGGTCTTATATCAAGTATATATTCAGGCTAGGACTACATCTCATTGTTCATTAAATCTAGTCTTATATCAAGTATATATTCAGGCTAGGACTACAGACTGGAGACATAGTGAGAGACACTATAAGATGGTTTCAAGGTTCCGCGGAGGTCATTTTGCGGGGCTTATGGCGCCTCAGCACCCCCTTCCTCCCTGAAGATAAAAGGAAAGATTTAAATAAAAAAAACCTACTTGAGTTGTTTGACAAGATCCTCCAGAACATTTATACAACCAGCGTGGTAATCCTAGGGATAAAGATGGTTGACATTATACAGAAAATCTGCCAAATTCAGAAAATTTATTGCAGGAAAAGATAAAGGAATTAATAGAATTAAACACTTATCCTAGGAAAACATCTTTCATATTTTTGATCAGATGAAGGTTTATGAAGGGGTTCCGTTGTGAATTGGGAATATCCCATTTTAAATTGAGGGTCACTCGATATTTCGCGTACAGTCCCTTTAATCAAATTTTTATAAATCTAAAATTACATTGAGTGAAGACGATAGTGCTGCCAACTGCATTATGTATTCAGCATCATTCTCGAGAATACTGTTCATTGACACCTGGGCCATCTGAAATAAAAATAAATTCTTTAAACGGATTGTTTTTCTTGTCAATTAAGCTGTTTATTCGATAAGTTAACTTAAAATAGGTGCGACTAAAAGAAAAAAAACCAATTGACCTTTTAACAAATCTGGGCAAACCCAACCTATACTGACACCCCTCTGGATAAACCCAACCTATACTGACACCCCTCTGGATAAACCCAACCTATACTGACACCCCTCTGGATAAACCCAACCTATACTGACACCACTCTGGATAAACCCAACCTATACTGACACCCCTCTGGATAAACCCAACCTACTGACACCCCCTCTGGATAAACCCAACCTACTGACACCCCTCTGGATAAACCCAACCTACTGACACCCCCTCTGGATAAACCCAACCTACTGACACCCCCTCCGGACAGACCCAACCTACTGACATCCTTCTGGACAGACCCAACCTACTGATACCCCTACTAGACCGCCCACCTGGTAGGATTCTGCAAATTTCTTCTCTGCGTCTAATATTTCGTCTCCGTCTGCTCCATGCCGTTTCTTACAGTCGTAATCCAACTTCCGGCCGTTAACCTTCTTCCGGTATGTCAAGACGTCACGGAGCTCCTTATTCTAGATACATAGATAGGTAAATACAACGATCCTAACTATAAAGTGAAATGCAAAGACGACTTTTAATCCAGATATGTTTTTTTAATTATGTAAATTCTCTGCAAAAGTGAAGACATCAATTTAATATTATTATCATTTATCATAAAAGCTATTAATGAAACTCAGATCTTTTCCACGGTATTTCCGTCAATACTTAATACTTAATAGCAATATTGAAATTTATCGCAAGAATACCCTTTAAAAAATTAGACTGTAATTATTGATTATTTATTGATTGAGTTAAGTGTTCAAATTAGATGTAAAAAAAGTAATTTTTAATATAAAAAATCACAATATTTAAAAAAATCAAAATCATAAAAATTTGCAGTTTGTACCATTTCGATTGCTTTAAAATAAAAAAGACTAAATTTAACAAATTGTAAAAATTCAGAAAAAACAGTTCTATTTTCAAACTTTTTTTATTTTATCTAAATGATTTAAATTTTGTAATTTGAAATAGAATTTATAAAATTGTCAAAATTTAATCAAGTATTTAGATTTCAATTAAAGATTAATTAACTCTAATGTTTTATATCAATATAATGTTGAATCAGGTTACATGAAATATAAGAGTTTTTTTGCTGTTTCAAGGGGTTGTACGCGATAACTGGATGAAAAGATAAGACCAACTTAGTACGTTTTTTTGTTATTGGATTTTTTCATGTGTTATAAAAACCTATTTCCGATTCCACTTTTTCTAGGTTGAAAAATTTGTGAAAAAAAAATGTTTACGGATGTTGAACCCTAAGAAGTCATACACATGCTTTTTTATTGTTTTTTTTTAGAAGTGATATAAGTAAAAAAAGCATAGATAAAATTGAGAAAAATTATTTCATCTTTCTCATGTCATGTTTGAAAAAATACTTTTCATAAAAATATTTAAAGTTGGCCATTTATTTTTATGTTATTATTTTTGTTGTTTGTTTGTTTGTGTAAGATGAACTGGGGTTATTTGTACCCCTCCCCCCCTGTCCAGGTTTTGTCAACCTGGCAACCACATTTAGTTTCATTATGATGAATTTTAACTAAACATTAAATATCTTTACAACAATTTTCTACAAAACTAAAAATACACAGGCTTATAAAAACCATGAAAAGTGTTCACCATCTTGGTTTGGTGAAAAGTTTTCTTAATTTTCAAAAAAATACATTTAAAAATATTTACTTTTTCCCAAAAAATGTATTGCAGCTTCATTTTTGCAAGAATAAATTTACAAAAAGAAATGAAATCTGAGAAAATACTAAAAAAAGGACAATCGTCAATTGAGTTTGAAAGCAAATGAAATATAAAAATAAAAGGTTAAAGTACAACGCTGTACAGTTCTGCACAGTACAGTGCTGTACAGTACGGTACAGTACAGTAAAATACAATACAATACAGAATAGTGTATTACATTGTACAGTATGGAAAATACAGCATAATTCATACAATACATTATTGTAAATTTGTGCTGAACAGTAAGTTACATCCTAGCGACACAGTTTGCTTTATTAGAGTACAATGAAGAAAGTACAAAAATAAGCACAATTAACTACAGTACAGCACAGTACAAAACTTATAATATTTAATAACATAAGGATTGAAATGTAACGATAAATTAGCTATTGCAACAAATACAATACATTACTTCAACGTATTCAGTTGAACCCCCCCCCCCCCCTTCAAGAATTTGAGTTAACCTAACAAAACCAACAATTTGAAAACACCAACATTTTTCTAAAAAAATAAAGTTACGGAAAATGTTTGAAACAAACTCAGAAAACAAAATCCAAATTCCAAATTCCTAGCTTACAACCTGATGGTGTAAATCTTAATTATCTTAAACTTTGAAAATTTGATTTGAACTCATAGTTTGAAATATCAAAGGTTTACAACATCAAGACAAAAGGATTACAAATTAGATTTTTTAGTTCCTTTGACTGTGATAAATATTCAAAACAAGCCATTTTTTTTATTGAAAAAGATCTATGTTGAAGACTCAACTGCTGTGGTCCATATTTTCCCCCTGAATACGTTAAAGAATGTATAAGAAGCGGGAACCCTGGATTTTTTACTTACTTTTTATTAATAAACATGAGACCCCTGGACACTCCAGGGACACGGAAAGTGTACAGAAAATAAAATTTGATTATCAGTCACAAGGGGGGGGGGCAGTAAAAAAATGTTTTTTTTTTCAAAAATGATGGAATTGGCTTTTTGGTGAAAAATAAAATAAAAACACCAAGAAAGTTAAATTTGTGGAGGGGTTGGGGAAAAAATAAAAAAAACACTTAATTAGATTTTTTAATATTATTCGTTTTCCATAGAATAACACCATTCAGAAGAAAAAGAAAAAGTAACAGAGAAATTGAGAATATATTAATAAGTGTTAATGATGAGGAAGTTAGACAGTTAGACAGTAGGACAGTTAGACATTTGAACAGTTATACAACTATACAGTTAGACAGTTAGACTTTTAGACAATTAAATAGTTAGTTAGTTAGACAGTTCGATGGTTAGTCAGCTAGAAAATTTGATAGCTAGTCATTTAGAAAATCATACATTTAGGTCCTTAATCAGTTAGAGAGTTAGACGTTTAGACATTTAGACATTAAGACATTTAGACATTAAGACATTTAGACAATTGGACAGTTAGACAGTTAGGCAAATTGATATATAGATAGATATAAGTATAAATAGATAGATAGATAGATAGATAGATAGATAGATAGCTAGATAGATAGATAGATAAATAGATAGATATATAGATATATAGTTAGATAATTATATAGATAGACAAACAGACTGACAGATAGATAAATAGAGAGAAAGATAGATAGCCAGATAGACAGATATATATATATATACTGACAGATATATAGATAGATAGATAGACAGACATATAGATAGATAAATAGATAGATAGATAGAGAGATAGACAAGCACAAAGACAGATAGATAGACAGAAAATAGATAGTTTCCAATATTTACCTGACTATCCTCTAGAGGGGTTAGATAATTCTGGGCAATATTATCCTCCATAGACTTCCTATATAATAATACATATATATAATAAAATATTATAATTCTGGGCAATATTATCCTCCATACACTTCCTATATAATAATACATATATTTATTATAAAATTTATCATAATTTTTCAATCATATCGAATATATTCAAAAACTAAATTCTTAGTGACCATATTGAGATCTGCTAGTGACTACCTGAGTTCTGCTAGTAACTACCTGAGATCTGCTAGTGACTACCTGAGGTCTGCTTGTGACTACCTGAGATCGGCTAGTGACTACCTGAGCTCTGCAAGTGACTACCTGAGATCGGGTAGTGACTACCGGTGATCTACTAGTGACTACTTAAGATCGATCTACTAGTGACTACCTAAGATCTGAAGGTGACTACCTAAGATCTACTAGTGACTATCTGAGATCTGAAGGTGACTACCTAAGATCTGGTAGTGACTACCTGAGATCTGCTAGTGACTACCTGAGGTCTGCTAGTGACTACCTGAGATCTGCTAGTTACTACCTGAGATCTGATAGTGACTACCTGAGATCTGCAAGTTGACTAAGACTATCTCCACAAATGGTTAGGCTATCTGCATACTGAGAATCATTATTCTGCTGCAGCTCTAAAACAAATTTTATTTATATTTTTTAAAATAAATTATGATTCAATTATAACATTTGTTCTCTACGCCCCCCCCCCCCACTCACACAACCTATATCTAGGCTCTATTCATGGCTGCAGTATTGCTCCTGATCTCTAGAATCCTCCAGGATGGCACCGCAATCATGCAATGTGATCTTTATTATGTCCTCGTCTATCTCTCTTTTCTATGTCGTATCTCTAGCAGTGTCTTTTACCAGATAACTGATGTCCAGAAGACCCTAAGGCCTTTTATTCATCGCATTACAAGTTTGATCCTGTTACGCGAGCCATGTCGCGTCTCTTGAGTCTATGGAATGCCCCTGTTCAATGGGAAAATTTTGTTCACCCCTGCGACAAGAGAGTGGTCTGTACAGATGTTTCTGGAAAGAATTGAATACGGAGAGAAACTTGTTGTATATCGTATGTTTTGATTTTACTGCGCAGGCGCAGTTTTGTGTCATGGACGCGTTCTGTGTTAAAACGTTTTTCCTAGTATATAGTTAGAATCTGTAAAGTGTGCTAATATTTCGTGCTGAAAACCCTGCGAATGACTGTGGTAAATATGTTTAAATGTTATTTTCATTCTACTCAATGTTTTCAAGAAAAAGTTCTAAAATATTTATTTCTTATATTCAATATGTATCCTTGAGAAATATTTTTGTAAGTAATCGTATGATAAATATTGGGCTGTTCATGGTTTTTTAATGCCTGAGGGATACTTTATTTGTTTCTTGTACCCTCAATGCTTTTTCCATGAGAAATAAATGTTCTTTGTTCATTAGACTGAAGCTGTCAATCTGTAATAAAAGTTCAAGCCCTACCCTGTGTATTTATTCAACATGAGGAGGATTGAGCAACGGAGTGCTTACGGTTCGGTTCAAAGGAGTTCTACACGGTACTATTTTTATACAAACTAGGGCAACGCCAGTTGCGAAACAGATCCTCGTCTCTTTTTCTTCTCCAACCACCAGAGGACCGATCCGGAAGCGCACCTGTTCCTATTGCTTGTGCGGTACCAGGTGGTCCTTTTCCCTGTCGATCCCTAGACGTGACCGCGCGCCCACCCACGCTCGGAGTTACTAGGAGGATCCTCTCTACCTGAGCAGATACCCTAGGTGTGTAGTCTTACGTTGTGGCAGAGCGGTGGGATACCAGTAATCTCTTTAAGAAGTGAATCAAGCGCAAATTAGCTTGCTTTTGAAATTTTTTAACATAATCTTAACACATATTGCTTAACTTATTATTAATTTTCTACACATCAATTCTTTTCAACTACTTTTTTGCATGAAGATATATCATTTCATTTCAATATATAGAACAATTTTTGCTTTTATTTGTATTTTTTTGTCAACTGAAATCCCAAAAGCGTTTTGAAAATACACTGAACATCATATTTCTCAAAAGTAATTGTAATTGTTTTGTATACTAATTTTATGTTAACATTTCTGATTAATGCACTATTATGGATTCCTGAAAAGTTTCAAATATTCAGACAAAAAGATATGAAATCTATAGAGGCATTGTAAGCCAGCATTAAGCAAGGGACTGTTTACAGGGTAGATAAAACATACTTTTATACAATGATGTAGAAATAAGGTCTTGCCACAAACTCAAATTTGTTCAACCTAATAGATTTTAGATTTTTAGACTATTTTGTATTACAGAATTTATAGTTTGTAAAATTAAAGGTCTACGACATTGTGTTGCAAAGATAAAGGGATTAGAGTTTGTTGCAAGAACTCTGTTCCTTTGTATCAGGCTTTTGATAACTTTACCTTTAAGTTTTTTCCCTCCTTTCTCCATAGCTTCTCCTAAAGCCTTCTCTGGGATCGGAACTATCCCAACCTTGGAGTTTACTCCAACCTAGACAGATAAATTTTTTTTAAAAAATATTTATGTTTTTTTAAGATAAAATTATTAAGGAACACAGTTTTTACCACAAGCTAAAATTTTCTAATCCCTATATCTTAACAACACAGATGGTTGAACCGTTGATATTACAAATTTAAATAATTTGATCGAACATAATTTATAGCTTGAAAAATCAAAGATCTGCGACATTGGGTTGCAAAGATATAGGGATTTAAAAATAATTCTTTGTAGTTAGAACTCCTTCCTTTGCCTGGAGCTAATTAAATTATTCATTTTTAAAACTTTAATTTAATTCCATGGCCATAGAAAACTAGATATTTGTTAAATTCTTTTTCAATACTTTCATCGAATTTTCTTACTTTGAACATTTAAAATTCGTCTTAATTGTTTCCTAAATTGAGAATAGAATACTGGGACAATTGTGGTTCACAAAATTTGGTTAAATATTGTTTTGTAATTTGACAAATTAAAATTTTAAACATTAAGAATACGATGGGGCCCTTTAATTTACAGTATTTAATTAACTTCGATTACTTAAAAATTCTTTTCAAATCAAGAGATTGGTAAATGAAGAATCTTTAAATAAAGGTTTTTTCACCGAAAAATCTTATAAAATCAATATAAATGATGAATATTGTATGTTGTGTATGTAATGCAGGATGTATATTGTATATATTGTGTATGTATTGTAAACTGTATGTTTACTATTATAAAATAAACATGATGAAGAAATCAATGATTATCTCCAATGTCTCGTGTGCCAATAAACCCTCCTCAACCCTTGAAACAAGATCCTCAGGTTTACTTCATCAGGTTTTACTGAGCTCAGAGTCTAAAAGTCCAATTCACGTTTAGGACTAATTTTAAACCAGTTTTAGGAGTATAATGCTATGATGATCCCAGCATTTACTCGGAGTTTCTGACGATGGTTCAAACCAATTTTTAATTTAATTTTTGGATCTAGTATCTGTACATAACTTGGTTCATAACGCCCTCTGTCGATTAGATTTCGGGACATTCTTTTTTTCAATTTGTTCGTTTGTTTATCGTTCATTACCGACCTGCGTTTCGTTCGTTGATTTTTAGTCGTTCATAATTTCAGTTTATAGAATTATCCTTCATTTTTCATCTATTTCGTTCGTTTTCTAACTATTCGTTTGTTTTGTGACATCGTTCGTTTAGTAAAATCATTGGTTTCATAAAATCGTTCATTCAGTAAAACCATTGGTTCAATAAAATAGTTCGTCCAGTAAAATCATTGGTTCAATAAAATCGTTCCTTCAATGAAATCATTGGTTCAATAAAATCGTTCCTTTAATAAAATCATTGGTTCAATAAAATCGTTCCTTCAATAGAATCATTAATTCAATAAAATCGTTCGTTCACTTAAATCATAGGATCAAAAAAATCGTTCGTTCAGTAAAATCATTGGTTCAATAAAACCGATCGTTAAAAAGTTTTAATCTCGTGTTTCAAGACTTGATTCAAAATATCAAAAAAAAAAAAATAAAAAAAACTTTTGTGTTGGATAATCATAACCCCGATATCTACTGTGAGCACTTTTAATTTAAGGATCAATGCTTAATCTCTTCATTTCAGTTATTCTTACATGGTACAATCACCTTGTGGGATATAGAATAAAGATTAGTTAATCTTCAGATTAGTTAATCTTTAGAATCTTTAGATTAATTAATCTTTAGAATCTTTAGATTCGATAATCTTTAGATTAAGACAAGGTCGATATCTAGTATATGATTAGTTTCAGTTTTAATTTATTTAAAAAATTTGTTAAAATTAAAATTCAAAAATTAATGTTAAACAAATTTATTTTCAAAATCCAAACTAAGCAGCACACTGTATATGCAATTTATAGATATTTCAAGTATTTGAAGTTTAAATCAGTCAATTGCATAAACTCACAAAGTAATTATTCTTAAACTTAATAAATACAAGGTTACCCACAAAGATTAAGAATTGAAAGACGACAGTATGGGTCCAAATTAAAGTATAAAAGTTATGGATAACCCTGTATTTGAATATTTAATTCATGGTTCAAAGTTATAATATTTTGTTTGGTTGACAATATGAAAATATATTAGTCCGCTTTGCAGGATTAGAAATGTGTAAAGTTTAATTTGTATGAATGAAGAGAACATTGTTAAAAATAAGAAAAAAATGAAAAAAGTGATATACCTATTGTTGGGATAATAATAATATTAATAATAATAAATTTTACCCCAAGTTTAGATATGCCTGAATCCGTCATCATCTTGGCCCGAACTGTAGGATTTGGATAAATAAATTCTCTCGTTTTCAGTTGGATATCAGCCTTAATTAAATAATTGGATATCTTTATTAATTTTTAGATGGATATCAGCCTTAATTATTGGATATATGTATATAATATTCTTCAGTTAGATATCAGTCTTAAATGTTGGATATATATAATATTCTTTAGTTGGATATTAGCCTTAGTTATTGGATATTTTAAAATATTCTTTATTCGAATATCAGCTTTAATATTTGGATATAAATAATATTCTTTTGTTGGATATTGGCCTTTATAATTGGATATATATATAATATGCTTTAGTTGGATATTAGCCTTAGCTATTGGATATTTTAAAATATTCTTTATTTGAATATCAGCTTTAATATTTGGATATAAATAATATTCTTTAGTTGGATATTGGCCTTTATAATTGGATATATATATAATATGCTTTAGTTGGATATCAGTCTTAATAATTGGATACATATACAATCATTATTTGGATATCAAACCTAATAAATGGATATATATTCTATTCTTTAGTTGGATATCATCCTTAATAATTGGATATCGAAATAATTGGAAAGAAATCATATTTTTTAGTTGGATATCATTCTTACTTATAGGAAAAATTAAATAATTTTAGTTGGATATCAGCCTAAATAATTGGATAAAATATTTAGTTGGTTAAAAAAACAAAAGTGAAAAAAGTGTTTAATTCTGAACGAAGTTTAAATAAACTAACTTTACACATAAAGTTTTAGTAAAGTTTTAGTATCCAATTGTGTTTTTGAAAACTTGGAAAGTCCATTACAGACAGTTGAACAAGAAAGATGGAATCGAATTCTATAGAATTCCAGATATAGTATTGAATTTATCTAGAATAGATTTTTAGATAACATGCATGTGACTACAAGAGAAAACTTTGTAAACAGAAAATTTATAAAGTTTTATTGCTATTTGCATCAATTATATAAATTAATTTTAGAATTAGGTAAATTTTTGTTAAGATCTAGCTTAGACATTTGACTTTTGACTGAAGTTGATTTAACCCTGTGCATTTAAAATTGATGCCATTTTACCCCTACAACCATATCCTAATAACTAAATATGATTTAAGTTTGACGTTACAATCACAGAGTAAAGAATTAATAAAGAGGGGAAAAGACTGTTTGCATTGGAATCTTGAATAATTTCAGAGCTATAGGAAGTTGTATTGTATATATACAGACCTAGACTGCAAAATGGGACGGTAAGACAAAGTACTCATCCCCTTTTGTGAAAATTAATGTGTCTACACATTTGTGGTTAGGATGAATACCTGAATTTCTGTTTATGATTTAAGTGTGATGGTACAATCACAGAGCGTAGAGAATTAAGTTAGAGGGGAAAAAAACTTTTATCTCCGGTTCATTTCAGAGCTATAGTAAGTTGTACAGTTTATATACAGGCTATGTAAGGCAATACGGGAGAGACAGTATACCTTTCTAGTATTGAGTACGTGGTTAGGATGTTTACCTGCATTTCAATATATGTATCAGTTTGCTGTTCAAGTTTGGTAAACTCATCATCTAGTTTAGTATGCTCAGCTCCACCCATCCTCTCACTTACCATCTGGTCAGCCTAGACAGTTCATGGGGTCAAATACCTCACGGGTCAAAGCGTACACAGGGTGAACAAGTACATCGTCAAAATATTTTATGGTAAAAAACAACCAATCAAACAGCAAACGGTCAAACAGTAAATGATAAAAAGGACGTGGGCTAAAAACAGTAAACGGTCAAACAGTAAACAGTCAATTAGTAAACGGTCAAACAGTAAACGGTCAAACAGTAAATGATAAAAAAGTCCATGGGGTTAAAACAGTATGCAGGTACAAACACACAAACAGTACAGTACATGGAGTCAAGCAGCACAAAGCCAAAGAGTACACAGGGCTAGCAAGTAAGAGTGTCAAACAGTTGTAAGAGTCAACGACAATACTTTGATTATTCAACATTTTTCATACAAACAATGCAAATTTGCAATTCTTTTTAAACTGGCGAAAAAAGTTTAACGATTCTACAGACTTGATCTAATTAGATTTTTGTTTGATTTTTTATTACCTTAGAAAACTGTTTTTTAATCCCTCCCAATGAGGGTATATGGATGTTAGACAGATTCCCTCCAAGAAACGACATTTTCTGGCTGGTTATTAAACTTTTAAGTTAGTTTTAAATCTAAAATAAATCATCAGATATTACCAGAACATATATGACAGTAATTGAATCGTAAAACGATCGTTTTTTGTTTCGTTTTTAAAAACGACCCACTCGTTTTGAACTTTTATGAAACGAATAACGATCGTTTTAAAAAAAATGTTAATGACAATTATGTTAACAATATTTAACAAAGGGTCGTTGTGAACGATCGTTAACAAAAGGTTGTCGTTAACGATCGTTAAAGAAACAAAGAACTTAATAAAAATGGTCGTTTTTGGAAAAACAATCTTTTTTGGAAAAACGATCTTTTTTGAAAAAATAATTACATGCAACTTTATTGAATGTCGTCTTACATGAAGTTAAGCAGTTGTGTGAGAGCTAAGACTTCCTGATATTTTCTTTAAAACTACTCAATGATAAGTACAGATGCCCTTCAGGCCGGTTTCCTCTCTTCGTTAACGATCGTTAACGAAAAGTCGTCGTTAACGATCGTTAACGAAACGACGAGTTTTATAAAAACGATCGTTTTGAAAAAACGACTGTTTAAAAACGACCATTTTTAATAAACGATAAAAAAACGATTTTTCGTCGACGTTTTCATAACGAAACGATCGTTTAAAAAAATGAAAACGTTAACATCCCTAATTGTGGATTCCCATTGAAAACGCGCATTAAGGATAAAAAGTGAGAACTTAGAGCGTACAGTGATGCCATACTATATAGGATTCACATTTAGCACATTCATACATATATCACAGATTTATGGATTAGGACAATAATCAGCACTTTATCCTCATCTTCAACTTTTTCAATTTTCACTTTCCTAATCCTCTTTATAGGTTTCTTGTATTACAACAAATTCTCATCAGTATTATTTATTATTTTTGACTTTTCTTTATAATTACTTTACATTCATTTTGTACCTAAAAGGATTTATCTAATGAAAATGGAGCCTACAAAGCATAACAAAGGAATCTCCGGGGCAAAACATCTTGTTAGCTATTTCATTAAATATCTAAAGATATGGTTGTAAAACAAATAGTTTTACCAGTCCCTCATAATTAACTTATTCATACAGTAAAATGAGTACAGCTGAATAATAGCGGGTTTTGATAAATTTAAACACAAAAAGGTTTAGATGGTACATTTGTATTGCCTACTTCCAATATAGTTTCATTGCATCTTTGTGTTCAACAAGAAGAAAGTAGTAGGAACACTCCAATTGGAAACTATAGCTAAGATACTAGATCACCAATCCTTCCATTATAGTTTCATCATGCCGTTTAACAATTACTAGTAGGAACACTCCAATTGGAAACTATAGCTGAGAAGATACTAGATCACCAATCCTTCCCTAGTTTCATCATACCGTTTAACAACTTAGTAGGAACACAAGACTACAAGTAGAAACTATTATAGCTGAATAGATACTATAGAGTACCAAACATTCCGTCATAGTTTCATCATGCCATTTAACAACATTAGAAACTAGCAGAAAGACTCCAATTGGAAACTTTTATAGCTGAGAAGTTACTATAAATAAATCAATAGCAGTTGAACATGAAATTGGTGTATTGTACCATGGTCTTGAAATAGTAGATATCGATTATTTGATAACACTACTAAACGCTAAACATAATAAATATATCTGTCCTCACTCTTCCTTCTAGACTTTCTCTTTGGTTCACAACCAACCAACTTGTGACTAGAGTTCTAGAATCAGCGAAGAGTCTAGTCACGTGACCTCGAGGCTGCAATCCATAGTCACGTGACCCGACCTCGGCCCGGGATTGGTCGAAACAACTGTTTATACGGCGACACAAGCCGTACTGACGTCATCGGTCTCAATCCCTTGCATTACAGAGAAGAAGTATGGCCTCCAGAGATTTGAATTTCAAAATCTGAAATAAGGATTTTCAACATTAAGTTGCTAATAGGTTTCAACGGTGTTAGAAAATGTGCTGCAGCTTGTTACTGTCACTCTATCTTTAAAAGCAACTTCAGGAAAGGGATTAAACGGTATTTTAAATAATGTGCTGCAGCTTGTTACTGTCACTCTATCTTTAAAAGCAACTTCATGAAAGGGATTAAACGGTATTTTAAGTAATGTGCTGCAGCTTGTTACTGTAACTCTATCTTTAAAAGCAACCTCATGAAAGGGATTAAACGGTATATTAAGTAATCCTCCATTTTAGAAAATGTGCTGCAGCTTGTTACTGTCACTCTATCTTTAAAAGCAACTTCATGAAAGGGATTAAACGGTATATTAAGTAATCCTCCTTGTTAGAAAATGTGCTGCAGCTTGTTACTGTAACTCTATCTTCAAAGCAACCCCATGAAAGGGATTAAACGGTATATTAAGTAATCCTCCATGTCAAGATAGCATGGATTTACTACTGTTGTCGGATCAACTATACATTAGATGATTTAAATTTATTATTTTTAAAACTAATTATTTTAGTTGAGGTTTCTCTGCAAAAAAAAACGACTTGCTCAAGTTTACTGGAGGAAAATTCAAATTAAGGAATTGAGTCTTCGCCACAAACTCTGATTTTCTAATACCTATATCTCGGCAATCCAATGCCGTAGACCTTAGATATTTTAAACTATGAATTTTGACATATGAAATAATCTTAGTTTAAAATTTGAAAGGTTTACACCATCAGGTTGCAAAAATGTATGGTTTATCAAATTTGAGTTTGTGGCATAGACTCGATTCCTTATCGGGAACAAAACGGTGCAATAAAGCACAGGTAGAGCTACAAAACTCTTAAATAGGAAGACGATCACAATAATTAAGTATATTTGATAGTTTACAAAGCAAAAAGTTTTAGTGGTAACTAGTTAAATCCCTTATATTAAGATAAATGGGTTAGTTTAAACTTTTTAAGCAATTGCTGTGTCTTATGTTCATTGGACTTTTTAGGTCAAAGCTAGAGTCTAAGACGTTAGATTTTTAGAAAAATTGTTCGTTTAATAGAAAACGGTCGGGGTTTCAAGTTCGTCAAAATAAAATGTTCGATCTTTAAAAAACGACCGTTTTTTATTTCGTTCAAACTAACGATTTAGAAATTGTTGGTAAAACTGAAAACAATTTAGAATGAGATATTCTTAATCCCGATTACTTAATCTTAGTATCCAATGAACACACTTTTGATTTTATTCTTAAACCGTTCTTTCTTGGATATAGTAGAGAAAAATCAAAAACCGGTTTTTCTTAATTAGAGAGTTCTTCCCATTTCTGAATATAATCTTAAATGGCACGAAAAATTTCAAATTTATCGGCTTCATACACGCGACTCTGATTGGTTGGATTTTATACACTTTTCAAGATACAAGATTAGATTAGTCTCGATACTAAGAAAAAGAGAGGATCAAGCATTAATCTCGATTTCCACCATTCTCAAGTTTTCAGCTCAGGCTGATCAACAAAAAATGCGAACGATTGTAATAATTTTAAATCGTTCATTTTTAAATAAGGATCGTTTTTTTTATTTATCTGAACAATCCATTTTGTTCGTTAATTTTCTGAACAATACCATCGTTCACGAACAATTATTTGTTTTGAAATAATTTGTTATTTTATGAAAACACTGCCCATGTCTTCATCTTGCCAGTCCACAGAAATATATTTCTAAAATATAAAATCTCAACACAATGTTTATTCTGAACAGAGTTTTATGATGTATGACAACGTTATTCCTCCAGTTATAAACTTATACAGACAATTTTGAAATTCCCATTTTGCTTTAATGCAAATACAATCTTAACCTCAATGGAACGAAAAAATGTTTTAATAAGGCAAAATATTTATCTAAAACAATCTACATGGGTAGGCGATTATTTCATTACAATAAAGACGAATTTTTTATTTATTCTCAAAAAGCTTTTTTCGGATTACAAATTTACAAACAATCAAAGAGAAGCTTTTTTAATTGACAGCTTCTCATGACTTCTATGTTTATGTGTATCCACTGTTTAACAGCTTGATATATATCAAAATAGAAATCGAAAGTCGTCTTCCTTACAGATATAATCGCCTACCACTGTGGTTAAGTTGAACATCCAGGTACATGTTTTTGTAAACTTTAATTCCTATACGGCAGACCACTATCATCACATAACTTTTTTTTTATTTTTGTTGGTTTTCGCGGATTTTCTCTTGAAACTAGTATTATATGTATTAAATTAAATTTAACTTTTGTCATAATGATCTTAGAGACAAACTAAAATATGTTTTAAAATGACAAGATCAAACTATAAATTATTTAATTTCTAAAGTTTAATGTCAAACAAACATAATAATGATAAAAATTGGAGAAATACTAATTAGCCCAATACACTCTGGGCCGTAGTAAATTTGAATTCGAACAGGACCTGCCCAGTTTGTACCGCCTGCCAGATAACAGCGTGTACTGACCCGATCCTATGGAAAAATACGACGCTCTAACCAGACTAACATACCGCAGGGGTCAATTTTCTTGGCAAAGGCATGGCGCGTTCAGACTTTTTACAGTACCTGGCCTAATCCTAGGCCTATTTGACCGACCACACTGGCTTAGTCCACCGTGAATAACATATTTTGGGTGGTCTGTGTCCTCTAGATCATTTGAACAAAAATTAAGGAGGGTTTAATAAACTTAATTTTTGCAAAAATCCGCAAAAATTCCAAAATGAGCTTGATATTCCCTGCTTTGATGATATATGGGTCTGCCACACCTAAAAACTCTATTCTCTATCAAGGTTTTAAAAACTCAGCCTGAATTTGATTATTCAAATTTATAAATTCCATGCAATTTATTAATGCAATTGGAAATCAAATATTATTTATTTCTGAGATCTATAATAATTGTTGTAAGATATAGTGATACTTTTAGAATATATTTCCTTTTAATTTGCAGACATAAATTTCTTTGAAATTGGCAATTGAAAACTTTTTTTCTCAATAATGAATTACAACTTAAATATATGTATATGAATATAAATAACTTAAAGATTTTAACTGGTTTAACAAATTCACTCATTAAAATTTAAAATATATATTTGTTAAATATTCTGAAATTAGTTGAAAGGAAAGCGACACTCGAGAAATCTTTTTCATTATATATAAAAATGAATGAACGGTATAGTTACAGTCAGAACCAGAAAACTGTGGAATAGGAAGACGACATTAAATATCAATTAATTATAAAGCAAACAGTTAAATGGGTCTGTTCTCGCTGCACAATGGCTGTGTCTTGTGAATATTTAAAGACATAAATTGAGACTAAAGGTCGTATTCCTATTCCAAAGTTTTCTGGTTCTCACTGTTAAAGATAGGGTGTCTCAGACAATGATTTCAAAGATTGACATTGCTACAAATTTGTACAAAATTTTAGAATAACCCAGACCAAAGAGTCAGCAATACTAAAACAAGATTCTTCCAAGGGCTCAAATACTGCACTGCATAAGTGCACTAGTTCAAAACTCATTTCAAAATATTTTTTTTTGGGAAATAATTTTTTTTCAAATAATTATAAAAAATAAAAATAAATCTACTCTTTTAAATGTTTACTTAATAAAACGCTAACAATAAATTTTAACGAGAGAAACAAAAAACAAAAGCAAATTTCTGTAAATTCAATGCAATTATTTTAGCAAACCTGTCTTTTGCTATATAAATCAAATTATAATCTTAAGCGAAGAATTACTAGATATATTTTAATTTGCCTAGAAAGGTGTAAAAATGCCTTAACAACTACAATTGTGAGATAATTAGTGAATTTTATTCAGTTCAGTTGAAATATGATTCGGGGACTGTCACTTGTATTTGCTGTGCTACACATTGTTTCAGCAGCACCTCCCGCTCAGAAAGGGGCTAAAAAAGCGGGCAACAAAGCATGCACAACGCTTGACGGACCTGGGAAAGGAAAGCCTTGTGTTTTCCCTTTTTTCTTCCTAAAAACCAACAAGACCTACACAGAGTGCACAATAGAGGAGGGTAATGAATACTGGTGTTCCACCGGAGTGGATAAAAATGGCCAGCATATGTCAGGAACCTGGGGGCGCTGTTCTGAAGGGTGTCCAGGAGTCCCCGAAGGCGCTAGTCGGGTCGTGAGGACGTCCTGTAAGTCAAAAAAAGGACATAACTGCTTCTTCCCAATGTCTATAGATGGGTTCTCCTACAGAGGGTGTATTGCAGATGACGAAAGGAGTGAACCATACTGCTTTGCAAAAGATAAAGATGACGAAGGAATTACCCAGAAAGACGAATGCACTGCCGAATGTCCCAGAGATTACTTGATAACGAATAAAAAACAAACTCTGAATGAAGTTTTGAATCAATTGATGGAAAAGCCAAGAACATCAACTACAATAGAGTTTAAAGGAGATTGTAAATCTCTTGTAGAAGACCAATGGAAGTCAATCGATAAAGCCAGTCTTCCCGAGCCTGCTAAAGCAGCAAAAACCTACAAAGATGCTTTCAAAGCAGTGTGCAACAAGTCTAAATATTGTGCCAAAAGCAAAAGTCCTTTGTGTCAAGGAGATTTTGAAATTGTGACAAGGAAAAATGTTATTGAAGATCCTGGCAAAGATGTTGAAAAAGCTGATTGTTCATTCACATGTGGCCATGAAAAGAAAAATTAAATAAAATTATTTTCTGAAAATGAATTTCACCATTGTATCAAATTACATGATTAATACCAACTGAACTAAGAAGATTAAACATTAATAAAACATTCACATTATGACTATGCACATATTTTCTTATAATACTAGTGTATACTATAGCTGAAGTGCCCGGCGTTGCCTGTTAAGTTTTGAAAAAACAACCTTATTTTGAAAAAATACATTTCAGCCAATTTGGTCCAGCCGTTTGGCTAGCTATAGCTATAGTGGCGTTAACGAAAAAAAATCCAAAAACCGTTAATGGCTAAGTTCACCGCTTTTTAAAAACTAGTTAACGTTTTTTACCGTTAATTTTTTTTCAAAAACGGCTAATCCGATTAACGTTTTAAAAATTAACGGTTTTTGCCGTTCGTTAACGGACTCTTCCGTTAGTTTTCGAAAACCTCCGTTCCGTTAACGGAACTTTGCCCAGCCCTAGCTATAGCTACCATATATATAAATATCTATATATAGGCAGAGCTTTATTATATATATTTTCTCTTGTCTGTTTGATTAGATCCAAAAAAGTACAATAAACCAATCGAGCTCATAATCAAAAATGTCACTCCAAAATCTAGAATTTGGAAACTTTGAAAATTTTAACTGAAAATCTGCAAAAAAAATTTTATTTAGTCTTTGCCACAAACTTAATTTCTAATCTCTATATATCTTTGCAACCTGATGGTGTAAACCTTTAATATTTCAAACTTTGAAATATCTATGGTTTACAACATTGGGATAAGAAAATCAAAGTTTGTGGCAAAGACTCAATTCATTTATTGTTATAAGTAATGTAGGGAGAAAAAATGGTCAAATGTAATCCATTTAAAATAGCTGGAAAATTAAAAGAAATGTAATATTTGTTTCCGCATTTATTTGAAAGAAACTGTTCTTTATGGTTTAGTCTTAGAAAACATTTCCAATTTCTATTTTCTTAACATTTAAATCTATTTTGTCCGTTGACTATTCAAATGTTAAATAAAGAAAATTTTCTTATTGTTTGAGCAAGTAATCACTGGATTACGTGCTGTAAATACAAAAAATTATATAATTACAAATCAATATACCTGAGGCTGAATTTAAAGAACTTTAGTCGCGACTTAAATTTGAGACGCGGCCCAAATATAGTTAGTTCCAATTAAAATTGTATTCAACGTTTCAAGATTTAAGCCGGCGCTCAATTGAAACCGGCTGTTGGCAGATTTGAGACGCGGCTCAAATTCATTAAATTCGGACTCTGGATCTAGTGTTTTACAACAGTGTTAACCAAATAGAACGAGACTTGAATGACGAGCATCTTTGCAACCTGATGGGGCAAACATTTGATATTTTACGCTTAGATTATTTATCTTACATAATTCATAGTTTGAAATATCAAAGGTTTACGAAAGATGAATGAACTGAAAAATCAGAGATTGTTGGAAAAACTCATTACTTAGTTCCTTTATATTAAGATTTGACACGTTTTCTTTCATTACTCATTTTTTTGCTTGATTTTGGATAAAAACATGTTTTCAAATCCTTGAAACTGAGGCAGAATTTAAAGAATTTGATCCACGGTTTAGATGCGGCTCAAATATTGTTGGTTCCAATTAAATTTGTAATAAATTTTTCAAGATTTAAGCCGGCGCTCAATTAAAACAGGTTTTTGGGGGATTTAAGACGTGGCTTGAATTCATTAAGTTCGGACACTGATCAAGCTTCATTTTTAGTATTATTATAGGTGTAAATCAAACCAAACCAAGGTTTTTACAAGATCGTACCAATAACATTCCGCTTTATTTTGTTTCTTGGAATATTTCGAAATACAATAAAAAAGTATGTGTATTTGACTAACGCAATGCATTTAACCAACTTATCAAAGACGAGATCTCCTATATCTTGATTTCCAGGGTACAATCATGGGCATGTGTTAGAGATTATCTGTGAATGGGAATTCGTCTCTTTCTTCATAAAATCCGGGAATTTTGATGTTACGCTGTACACGGAATTCTTCCTCTCCTTCCGAAAAATGACAAAAGTTATTAAAAATCAAAAATTTTGTACGCAGACATTTTTAAAGAACATTTTTTTGGAAAGTATATTTTTGTGTGACAGATAATATAATTACGCTGTGTCGAATGTAAGTGAAATATAAACAATGAACACATGTGGAACTGTTCAGTAGTAACTTTAGGCAGTAGCTTTAAAGGATCCTATATAAAAACATACTGGTAAAAGAAAAGGAATAAAATTTTACAATACAATTATCTTTGCAACCAATTGATGGTTTATTTCATAAAATTAGATTATTTTATCCAACGTAATTCCTGATTTGAAATATCTAAGGTCATAGAACATCATTGATCTTCTTATTTTTTATAAAATATGTTTCAAACTTGAAATTTTACTAGATTAAAAAGTTAAAATTGAACGTATCAATGGTTTAAACAATCAGGTTGCAAAGAAACAAGAATTTCACATATGAATTTGAAGCAAGTTGTTTTTAAAGTCTTTCTGAAGTCTGGTCCTTTTCATTATAACTTATAACTTTTAATAAGTTCATAACAATATAATTTGGTTCGTTAGGCTTTTAAGTTTTTCGGACAAAATTTTTACTTTATCGAAAAATATACACTAAATATACACTAAATATACACAAAATATACACTAAATATACACTAAATATACACTAAATATACACTAAATATACACTAAATATACACTAAATATACACTAAATATACACTAAATATGCACTAAATATACACTAAATATACACTAAATATACACTAAATATACACTAAAAAAAAAAATCCGGGAACCGATTAACCTTTTTAGCGTCCCTGCTATGTAAGGCTAATTAAACATTACAAATTATTGCACGTTGATAACTTTAGAACACGTCTATAATGAAATTTACCTGATAGTGACCATAAGTGATAAAAAACACAAAAATAAAAAATATAAATCTTATCTGTTTTTTTGATTGAATAATAAATTAAGTAAATCTTAAAATATTTATCTAGGACAGGCAAGGAAGTTTTTCCTCACGATGAATTGGTTACCAGTTTTTCTGTTTTCATCTTTCTGCTTTAGGAATTCATTAGAAATAAACTAAACTAAACTAAACTAAACTAAAATATATTTCTACATCTATATATATATAAATATATATATAGATGGATGGAGTAGATGCCAGAGCTGATCTAATTATTACAGTTAATGGAGATGAAATTAATAGATCCAGGTAAAAATTTAAAGTTCTTAGCTCAACAAACTATAGCTCAGAGGCCGAATTTAAAGAATTTGAGACGCGGCTCCAACATAGTCATGGTTCCACTTGAAATTGTATTCGGTTTTTCGAGATTTGAGCCGGCGCTCAACAGGAACCGGTTTTTGGCGGTTCGGGTTCAGCGACGCGGTTTAATTTCTTTGCATTCGGCACAGAACTTTGTATAAACTAACTCTTTAAAGGAACTGTGAGCGTAATTTTAAATTACTCTCCATTCAAAGATAGCAATGCTTGATTTAGAACAGAACAGCTTTGTCTGTTCCAGTATTTTTATTTCGAGTTCTCTGCTAAAGTGACTTGCTCATTTAACTTTCTTAAACCATATAAGAAGCAATGGAGAAATTATCAGACTTTCAACTTTCGAGCAAAACAAATTCAACGGTATCTCCCACATTCTTGATTAGCTTAAAGGGACAGTAAAGGAAAAATGAAAGGGGGTATAGGCTGAAATACATTGAAAATTGTTTTTAGGATTGGTCAAATGTCGTCTTTATCCTGTAACTTTATCAAATACAAGCAGGAAACAATCAGCAAGGTATGTATTTTAAATTCACAATTATTGGCTATTTAAAGGGACTGTAAGCGTAATTTCAAGTGAGTTTTCATACCAAGATGGCAATGCCCGATTTAAAACGGTACTCATAAAAGCTCTGTTGGATCCAGAATGAATAGGACATGTGTAAGTTTCATTTGAGTCAGAAAAACATTTTAAATCTTGAAACATTGAATACAATTTTAAGTGAAACCAAATATATTTAAGCCTCGTCTCAAATTTAAGCTGCGGCTCAAATTCTCTAAATCCGGCCTCTGCTTACCTTTACTTTGACACTTGAAATTACGCTTAAAGTCTGCACAATTAAGATAGAAAACCTTCTTCCCCAGTTCTATTGTAAGAATCAACAAATCGTGACAAACTAAAGTATTTTATAGCTTTCAGCAGCATATTCTTTTAAATGTCAAAAATAGTAATTTGCATATCTTGAATTAATTTACTTTAAATCAAAATATTTTAATGCTATATTTAGTGTTTTATTATTAGTAGTATTTATTAGTAGTAGTATTTATGTTTTAGTTTTATGAATTTTACAGGATCCACCTGATATATTGGAGCGCTGAGCTGGGAACCTTAGAATGGTGGATATCGAGATTAATGCTCTTAATCCTCTCTTTTTGCTAATCTCGAGATTAAATATTTAGATCAACAAGTTTTATTCCAGGAACACCAGTTTATCCGTTTTTTGACTGGAAGGACCTTCACTTAATTTCTCACCCATTTATTTATTAACACATTAGTTAAAATTGGTTAAAAAAGAATCTCAAACGTATTATTAAATATTTTTCTTCACTGATTAATTTACAAAATGGCCGACAACATTTTCTTTATTTGTTAGAAATTCCGAATTTCTCTCATGGGATAGAATTTATTTTTAAGGCTGTCATTGGTCAATACAATTTACGAATTTGATTCCTGTACTCTCATTGAAGAAAACAATGCACGGATATCCAAAGAGAGAGAAAAAGAGTGGATTAAGGACTAAAATGAAAAGTTTCTACAATGGATAATCGGATTAAGTAGTTGGGATTAAAGGTTATTCATTTTAAAGTTCCCAGCTCTGAACGATTTTCCTGTTTCGATCTAGGGTTTCCAACGCAATTGGATTTTACTTGGGCGCTGCAATAACGGACCCTGTAATTTCCTCGCAATTCCGCACTATTTTTCGCAATAACTTAACAAGAACAGTTACGCGCAATGTTGCACAGTTGCACGAAATTCCGCTTAACGGAATTCCGATTGGAAACCCAAAGAAAATTTCGCAAATGATGTAATTTTTGTGAATTTTAGAAATTCCCAATTGTCAATTGTAAGCTGCAGCAAGATTATTTTAAATTGAAGTTTTCCAACCCTTTTTTTACAACCTTAGAAGATACAATTATTACAATTTACAAGATTAGAGACTGAAGCGAGTAATCAGTTTCTCTTCGATAAAACTTTGCAGTGTGTCTAAAAAACTCTCTATACAATGTATCTGAACCATCAAGATATGTTAAGGTTGCTCGATATAATGCTAATAATAATGTGCATACAGGTTGAGTGGTCTATCAGCTATTCTAGTGTTAGCACAAACTTTTTTGTTTCACATTATGAAAATGGCCAGAAAGACGTTCCAACCTCTCCTTATTTTACTGTGGAAGGTGCAAGGTAGATTTTAACGTTAAACTACAGTCGTCGTTTATACCAATACAATGAAGACAACTTTCTATTTTAATTTTCAATCTTTTAAACAGGGAAAGAAAGACAAGTTGTCAATTAACATTGTTGATCTCTGTGTTTACTTGCTATTTTGAAAAAGCTAGTTAGAAATAAAAACTTGAATAGAAAGGTCGTCTTCACTGCAGTGATATAAACAAACCACTGTTTTTATCTTAATACAGGTTTACCCATAAAGAATAAGACTTGTGTCTTTTCTTTGCCAAATCATGTAATAAGCCATTGAAAAACTTTATCCAAGACTATATGACACTTTTGGTTCCTTGCAACTCTAAAAGTTTAAACGCAATTATCTAAATTACAGGGGACATTAGTTCCAAAACTAACACTTTGCCCATTTCAAACACTTAGTGCAAAATTTTCTTTTTCAAGTGTAAACAAGCCGAGTTAAACAAAACTGCACCATACATTTATAAGAAATAAAACTATTTATTGAAACAAGAAATGTCAACTTCAAACTAATTTTAAGTTGTGAGAAAATGTTTTTGATGATTCTTGTTTTTTAAAAACATGTCCCTGTTCATGTCGCGTTTGGAACATATCCTGGTTTTGAGACAATTACTCGAATTCATATCAATGTCAATTTTTAAGTATTTACGCACTTACATTAAGAGTTACTTGAAATTACGTCTATACACTCCCTTTAATTATAGTTCTGGAGAGAAGGTTGTAAGAATGATGGTTAATGATGACCGGTCTAAGCAGGTCAACATCTGCTGTAAAGTTGAAGCAGTCAGGTACGGTCATAAAGATGGGCGCGTTCATTTTTTTTCATTTCGTGCGTGCGTTCTAAAAATTATTGCTCGTTCTCCATCCATTTTGTGTGGTTTCTCACCAAACTTTCGTTCAGTAAAATCATTTTTAAATAAAATAACGATGGATTTCAAAAGTTTGTTCGAAAAAAATCGTAAGTTCAGTAAAAAAAATGTGTCATTTAAAAAGTTTGTTCCAATTAGTCGTTTGTTCAGTAAAAAACTATTGTTTTTTCAAAATCTTTTGGAGAAATCGTTACGTTAGTTTAGTAAAAAAAAACGACAGTTTTTTTTCAAATTCGTGCAACAATTTTAAATTGTTTATTTACAAAACAGAAAACAGACGAAAAATTCCGTCTTTTCTCAAAAATTCCGTCCGTTCACAAAAACGCTGCACATCTCTAGTCGTAACTCAGGACCAGTAAAATCAGGAATAACATTTTTGAGGCTGCAGCGTTTTGTACATGTAAGTGACAAAGTATGTAAGCTCGAAAATATCGATAAAGATCTTTTCCATTGATTTTCAAAAACTAACATTAAAAATTAGTGATTTATAGTTCTGAAATACACTTTGAAGACGACCTAGTCTTGAAAATTAACCAACATTAGAAAATACAATCTCGCAAGCTCATCATGCAGCTCCATCTAACGAGTAACGGATCTAATGTATAGATTAAGGTTTTCTTGAAAATTGAGTTCTTAAGATTCTTTTCTGGTTATAAACTTAGTTGTAACTGATGTAAAAAGTAACATAAGATTTTTTTTTCAATTTTGACCCAATGGAATTTGCAACACGACGGAAATGATATTTGAAAAATCTCGAGAGCTTGTTCAACGATTTCCTCCGACCATCTCCCGCTAAACTCTGGAAACTTAATTTTCAAGATTGGGACACCCAAATACCGGGACAACTTTTAAGCAGCTAAAGAAAGCTGTACAGAACAGATACATTCTTTATGAGGCAAAACGGGACGGTACACTAAATGTATCAACAGTACACTAAATGTATCAACAGTACACTAAATGTATCAACAGTACACTAAATGTATCAACAGTACACTAAATGTATCAACAGTACACTAAATGTATCAACCCTTTTTTTGTAATATCTAAGTATGCTATTCAGGGACTCTGGGTATGGAATATCTAAGTATGCTATTCAGGGACTCTGGGTATGGAATGCTGAAAAAAGTTGATTCTGAAAAATGTTCCCAAGTTGGCGTAATCCCAGGTTAGATTTTACACATTTTTAAACAATTTGTTTAAACAAAGTGTTCATCAATTTCAACTAAGTTTATCGAAAGGCATGAAGAGCCAGATGATGCAAAACTCTCCGTAATAAGATTTTCACTTCACTGGGGACCACCGGAGGGAATTCATTTTCACTGAAGGGTTTGAAAAATCGCTTTATACCCCAGCGAACAGAAGTGGGATGAAAAACAAGTTAAAAACAAGTTTAGAAAAAGTCGACTTTGTCCACAAACTGGGATAAAAAAGTCGTAAAAAGTCGACTTTTTCATCCCAGTTTTGAACTAGTCAAACACTTTAAATAAAAAATCGTAAAAAAGTCGACTTTTTTCATCCCAGTTTTGAACTAGTCAAACACTTTAAATAAAAAATATGGGCAACGCCAAGTACTTGAGCAAGTTTTGAATGTTTGAAATAGGTTCAATTCCTAAAATGTCAAATTGGTAAAATTAAGAAGTTAAAAAAAATATTTTTTAGGAGATAAAGTTCAAGAGTTGACATTTTTTGTTAGTGATGATTTAGTGAAGGTTGGAGGATACCTTCAATACACTTGTAGGGTAGGTTAATAGAAGCTTTTTAACTTTTCTTTTAACATTACAAACAAATTTATAATTTTTATATCTAAAAGTTGTTAGTTCATCGTCGAAAAATACTAACAATCCACCGCCAATTTATATTAAATATAGTGTAAACAATAAATATGTAACTTTCCTTATCCTTTCCTTTTCCTTTTATTTCTTCTTTTATAATTTTTTAGAATTGAGGGGAAATATTCCCACAACCTCTACTTTTAGAGGGGTTTAAATATATTCTCCTGAAACACTTAATTTTGTATGTTTTTGTTATATTTCATAAATAAATAATTTTTTACTTTACACTTTACTTTACTTTTTACTAATGAAAACTTGAATATAATAATTCCAAAAAATTAAAGACTAGCAAAGAATTTAGACGTAATATGAAGTGACCCTCCATCAGAATATCAGAATTAAACACTTTTCGAGTTGAAAAAACCCGTTATCTTCCATATTATTGATAAAATTGTCAAGCGTACGTAATTTTTTTTAGCGGAGGGTCATTTGAAATTACACGCTTTTATATCTTCCACATTCTTGATTAGCTTAAAGGAAGTGTGCGCGAAAAATGAAAGGGGGTATAGGCTTACAGCGAAAAAAAATCGCTTTTGCTCGCTACTAATCTTACTTCTATCTGTTGCAGCTATAAGAAGAAAATTATTAAAAACGACATATACTGAAGAACGTAGCGTCCATATAATTTCAGAAAGTTTCAATGTACGACTTGGATCGTAAATAATCAATTTAATTTCAAATGCATCATTCTGATATTACAACCTAAAGGCAGCGATTATTTTTGGACGCATTCATATTTAGTTAATATTTCATACTATTTGTTATTTGTTTAGTATACAATGCACTAGGTGTCTCTGCCGCGTGTAATCCTTCAAAGCATCGTTAGCAGAGACATCTGACGACCGACTATTTTGGCGTTGTGAATTTGTATCGACGCTACTTTCTTCAGTATAAGTCGTTTTTAACAATTTTCTCCTTATAATCGTAACAGATAGAGGTAATAGTAGTAGCAATCAAAAGCGATTATTTTTCGCCGTAAGCCTATACCCCCTTTCATTTTTCGCAAACACGTTTCAAGATCAAGGGTATCGTGGTGAATCAGGCATTGACATCTTTGCATGGAGGGTCGCTTAAAATTACGCCTACAGTCCCTGTAAAGCCTAAAACAACATGAATATTTCTAATTTTTGTGCAGATATGAAGACTACTTGAAATCCAACCTAACAGTAACAGAACAACATTTCTCTCAGATCTCAAGATCTCAGTCCTGGAAACCACAGCAGCAGGTTAATATATTCTTAATCCTAATCTTTTATTTTCTTTTCATTTAATTCTGAACCGTGAAGAGGATATCCTGATCCTAGAGTACTCTGCTGGGAATATGATCATGATCTTTAAATATCTAGATGAACCGTGAAGAAGATATCCTGATCCTAGAGTGCTCTGCTAGGAATATGATCCTGATCTTTATTTATCTAGATGAACCGTGAAGAATATATCCTGATTCTTGAGTGCTCTGCTGGGAATATGATCATGATCTTTATATATCTAGATTAATCGTGAAGAAGATATCCTAATCCTAGAGTGCTCTGCTGGGAATATGATCATGATCTTTATATATCTAGATGAACCGTGAAGAGGATATCCTGATCCTAGAGTATTCTGATAGGAATATGATTATGATCTTTATATATCTAGATGAACCGTGAAGAAGATATCCTNTTCTGAACCGTGAAGAAGATATCCTGGTCCTAGAGTACTCTGCTAGGAATATGATCATGATCTTTATATATCTAGATAAACCGTGAAGAGGATATCCTGGTTATAGAGTGTTCAGCTAGGAATATGATCCTGATCTTTATTTATCTAGATGAACCGTGAAGAAGATATCCTGAGCCTTGAGTGCTCTGCTAGGAATATGATCATGATCTTTATATATCTAGATGAACCGTGAAGAAGATACCCTGGTTCTAGAATGTTCAGCTAGGAATGGTGATCATATTCTGGCTAAAGAGGAAGTTACTGTTAAAAGGTAATTGATATCAACCTAGGTGACCTATCCCTTTCTTCGCCACAAACCTTAAATAAAATCTATTTGTCAAAGTTATCTCTATTTATCGTTACAATTCTTATTATGCTCATAATCTAGCACGAGATAGTTAATATATATGTTATTTATCAATTTAGACGCACTAGATAAAACCAGTAAATTTTTAAAATTTCATGTTCAATAATTCTTTTACATCTTTCATGCAATGTAATTTTTGTCAATGTAATAGTTCAAAGTTTAATTATAATTAATAACATTTTTATCATTTTTGTCAAATTGGTAAGACTTTTTTAAATAATAAAAACGCTCATTTTTACGTCATATTCAGTGCTTATGCATTATGAAAAAAATAATTCCTCAATGTTAAAAACTTTTTTATATTTTAGAGATAAAAGTAACAGTTACGTGTACTCTACAGGAAGACCGGGTCAGTACACAACAGATAGACCGGGGCTGCACTTGCCTCATGTAAGATTCTAGTTAAAGGGACTGTAAGCGTAATTTCCACTGACCATCCATGCAAAGATGGCAATGCTCAATTTACAACTGTACTCTTGAAACTTTCATCTGATTAAAAATGTGATCATAGCGGTTTTCTGACCCTAAATGTGTTTATTTCTGTAAGTTGCTCTGTTGCTTCTGATAAGCAAGACATGCGCAAGTCACTTTCGCAAATAACCCGGGAATGAAAATAACGATACAGTTTAAAGAAACTTTGATATCTAATTCATACTTGATCAGACAAAGCTTTTGAGGTTACTGTTGTGATGTCATCTATTGATGGAGGTTCACTTGATATTTTACGTTTACAGTCCCTTTAAATAAATTAATAAACTCATTATCTCTGTTTGTTTGGATGTCTGAGCATAACTCACGAACCTCTTGACCAATTTGCCTCAAATATTGACTGGGGAGCTCGATAGAAATAAGAGAATGTTCTAAATTAAGTGGAAAGTTTACATTGTCCGGCAGCTGGGTTCCGAAGCTATATAGTAAACAATTGAATAATTTTTTTTTCAAATTTAAAGTAAAAATGTTCATATTTTTAGAATTACTCAATTTTTTATTCAATCCTAATCAGAAAGGCCCGGAATTACTTTGCAATTAATCAGACGATTTTACATTTTTATTTTACAAATATATTTGATGAAACGATAATCACAAAATATTCCTGGTCTGCCTTTTTTGAGCATTCAAAATTGCTAGAGATAAAAATGTATAGTCGGATTGACTGTTAAATAATTCCAGGTATTATTGGTTATAACTGTATGAAAATATTTGGTTGGCAGAACATTGATGTAAATTAACAGCAACAATTGATAACAAATCAAATTCAGTTTTTTTTCCATTTTTAGGCTCGAAAGGGACGTTTTTACACAGATCCACAGGTAGCTCATGTAATTCCTATTTATATTTTATATACAGAGAGTCCCAATAAATACATTGGAATTAAGTTGCAATTTCTATATATATTAATTTATATACAGAGAGTCCCAATAAATATATTGGAATTAAGTTGCAATTTCTGTATCTATATATAAATTTGGCTTGTCTTGGTGTTTGTTTGTTTGTTTGTTCGAATACAATAAACGTCAAAACGGCTGAACCGATCGGGCCAAAAATTTTTGTGGGAAATCACGTGACCACAGGGAAGGTTTATGAATGATAAAAAAATGTGTTTTAAAGGTTTTTAATTTTGTAAAAAAAATTAAATTCTTGAAAATCCGCGAATTTTTTTTCCTAAATCCGCAAATTTTTTTTCTTCTTTGTTTTAAAATGTAAACAAAAAGAACATGTTCACAATTTAAATTGAAGATGGGCGCGAAGCGCCCTAAAAGCCTAGTATTTTATATACAGAGAGTCCCAATAAATATATTGGAATTAAGTTACAATTTCTATATATTCTTCGTTCCACGTGGCTTTAATACTGAACACAAATTTAGCAGTACACCAAACCAGTTTAACCTTTAACATCTAAAATTAATAATTCCGGAAATTCTAAAAATTCTAAAAAAATTATTATTTCTTGTACATTAAAAAAATATGTTTTAATGTCTGCACTTCACACAGACTGTATATTCAGATAGAAAAATAATAGGAATAATAGTTATAAATTTAAAGGTACGTAATTTTAAGTGTCCATCTAATTATAGAGTGGGATATCCGAAGGACAACGGTACCCTAAACGGTACTCTAAACGGTACCCTAAACAGTACCCTAAACGGTACCCTAAACGGTACCCTAAACGGTAACCTAAACGGTAACCTAAACGGTACCCTAAACGGTATCCTAAACGGTATCCTAAACGGTAACCTAAACGGTACCCTAAACGGTACCCTTAACAGCTTTGTCAAATCAAGAATTAATTATACTTCTTTTTTAAAAAAACTAATTATTTTCTCTTGAAAAGTGACTTAACCGTTTCTGGTGAAGCAATATAAGAATCAGAAGTCATCTCTTTTTCTAAGTAGAAAATAACGACGATATATCTTCCATTTTATCAATTATACAAATATTTAAAGAGTATCTTGCCCCTGTTTTATTGTAGGTTGCTTACATTTACAATATTAGTCCCTTAAAGTCCGTAATCTCTTGTCCTATAATTACTTCCTTTGTCCTATCTGTACTCAAGGGTGTAATGCAAGGAAAGTTAATTGCAGTTTCGTATTCTCTGCGTACATATTGAAACTGCAGTTCTCTCTGGGCGGAATTTGTAAACAAGAATAGATGCATCAGTGTTCGTTTAGTATCCGAGGAGGTTAAAAGCATTAAATTTTGATAATTTTGATAATTTACATAATAGTTTCCTATGTCCAGAATATTTCATTGATTTTTTTTATGTGAAAGATG